ATTAAAAAAAAAAAACAACCCTGCAAAAGCCTCCTAAATAGATTTTCAATAAAGTATGTGCAACAGGTTTTATTGGTGCTTGTTAGCAATGACCTGCATATGTCATTTGTATGAATATGGCCCTATCAGATACATGGTGATGAGACACATTTCACCACGTTGCCCCTTCTATAGACTCTATTTATACACCAGGATGAATGAATTGACAAGAAAAACAACCCTGCAAAAGCCTCCTAAATAGATTTTCAATAAAGTATGTGCAACAGGTTTTATTGGTGCTTGTTAGCAATGACCTGCATATGTCATTTGTATGAATATGGCCCTATCAGATACATGGTGATGAGACACATTTCACCACGTTGCCCCTTCTATAGACTCTATTTATACACCAGGATGAATGAATTGACAAGACAAGAGGTGCGGCATATAGATTTGATATAGTGGCATAAATTTAGGATGATCTACATTATTCATAAGTACTGAAGCCACAAATGAGATATGTAACAACATCCAAAATGAGTGTCAATAGAATCTGTTCCCGCAGCGCACCATCGTATATTCCTATCTGTCACATATTCCTTAGAAATTTCTCCTTCTAAGAAATCTGGTGTGCTCAGTCTGGATAGCAACGTTGCCTTGGGATCTGTGATAAGACTTGTCTGGAAGAACAAGCTTTCAGAAAACTGTCTAAAAAGGAAGTGGACAGAAAACACAAAGAATTTGCTGCTACTGAATTATTACCTCTTTTTCCAATCCAGCTGTGCCACAGTTGGGGACCCAAAAGTTATTTGGATCAGATCAATTTCTTGGTGTCTTAAAAATGGTAAAATCAAAACTAAACCATTGAAATATCACCACTCCAGCAGGCAACAAATATGACAGAACTGACAAATAAACTAATCCCCAGTCTATTTTTGCAGACTGATGAGGTGGAAGGACGCGAGTCTACACTTTGGATAACACGTGTGAGCTAAAACATTGGATATTTTGACACTCACTTGTCATTAATGTACATTTTTAAAAGGTTTAATTTACTATAAGTGCACCCAGTGCAGGATTTGATTATTCTCTTTATTGCCACAACATCTCAGGCACAAAGCTGTGAGTATTCAGAATAAAATCTATTCCTTTTCCACAGAGGTAGAGCTGCTCACAGACTGCTGGTTCTCAGAAGCCAAGAAACGGAAGGAGTGTGCAAAAGAGTGGTATAAAAATATTAAAGATTAATGACCACTTTCATGCCAGATACAAACCAGAAGCTCTCCACAGCAGTCCTTAACCTCACATTTGAAAGAGAACTAAGTGTTTTCACCTGCTAAAATCTCAGTCTGGATTTCAGATGAGTGACCTTGACCTGAAAGATTTCGTTTCCTATCTGAACTATCCAATCACTCACACCTATCTCTCTATTTAAATAAATATAGAAGTGTTACTGAACCACGAGTCATAAATAAGGTCTTGCTCTGCCAAGTAAAATAAAAAATGCTTACTGTGTTTAATTATTTTAATTTTACAATGTAGCAATGTTATTTAGTTTTACAACTAGGAAGGTTTTAAAGATGTTCTTTCCACTAAGATAAGAAAATACATAGAGCAAAACTACTTGTGGAAATATCTACTTTATCGTAGCTTTACCATAAGGAAAAACTTCAAAGTAAAGGAAAATAAAAGGAAAAAAGGAAAATACCTGGAATTTCAGTGAAAGTCTCTCCAAGGACGGACACGTGGAAAGGCAAATCTTTCTCTTTCAGCTTCAGCAGGTTAAAGAAAGTTTCAGGATCTTTCTCATGTTCCCTTAAAGCAAACAGAACTTATCTCAGCATCATTTACTTGTGGAATTGTTTTGGTGTTTTTTTAAAAATTTGCTTAGTAGAACAATATTTCTCTTAAATTGTACTTCTTGGGATTAAATGTATTCAACATAATTTCTCTCTCTGCTTGTGCTGCTGAATATTTTCCTCAACACAGCACTGAGCATCGAAACTCAGTTTCATCAGATTCTTCTCTCTCCACCCTGTCTTCAAATGATGCTTTTACTCTTCAAATTACCAGCTTTGAAAATGAGAAGGACTGAGTAGTATCTCACCTAGCTGAAGGCAAAATCATGATTTAAAACAAGAGTAGGGTAGGGAAAAAATCCCACCTTTTTAAATTTATTTTGTTTCCTGTCAAAGAAAGGATCATTTACACCTTTTTCATGAGGAATAAGTTAACGAAAACCTTTACCTAAAAGTACCACAGGACTTCCCAAACTGGAATTTTAGGAATCCATGCTATACCCTTGAAAAGCTTCTGATACATTCACTGCTTTAGGTAAAGAAAGGAATGAAATAACACAGGGCATTTCTACCTTTAGATTTCTAGAGGGCTAACTAGAAGTTAAAACAAAATATGAGAAATTTATACTTATTTATAATTCCAGCTGAAGAGAACGTTAAAAGTTTATATGGGTATGACAGTCCACGACATGAAACACAAGTTTGGTTGTCTAAAATAAATGAACCCCCAGATTTTCTAGTCCGTCTTCTTGATTAGGTTCCAAAGGTATCACAAGTGATCGAAATTTCCCACTGTAAGTTATACGAAAAATGGAACAAGATAATTTCTCCACTCTAAGGTGAATATCAGATCTTGCATTTAATTACTCTGCTTTAAATTATTGTGTTTCAGACAGATGTGCACCATATGTCTTTAAAATATTTTGGTTTTATTTATTATTTAGAAAATTCCACCGTTTTCCTTCCTGTATTAAAGGAAAAATCTATAGCTCAGCTCTCCTGGTGTCTTTCTTTACAGAGCAATTTCCTAGAATGAATCTGTAGGTTTGTCACACTGTTATATGAAAGATTAATAATTATATCATTCAGGAAATCTGAAGCCAAATGACATCTGCAGCTCTACACGTGTTAATTTCTCATTCAGTCAATATTTTTGGTTTAGGGAATTAAAACAAATTAATCTTATAATTAATGTGACTTCCCTAGGCTGAGAAACCTTCAGGAATTGTGGAGTTTTCAGAATTAGTCGCGTTTTCTTAAAATAAAGCCAGACAATAATCGCTTTAAGGAGTCCTCCATCCCCCAGATTTGTTTTGTTCCCAATAATAAGGAGGAATGCAACTGCATAAGCTTCATAATTTGTTTCACATCTGTGAACCAGGAGTTTTCAGGGTGGTTCCAGTAACTGAAGTGGATACGAGCACTGGCTTGGAGAGTGGATTTCACCCAGTTGCAAAGATCCCAGACCTTTCCCTATTAGTTTGCTGCATCCTCATGCTTGGAAGAGCCACCTGCTTCTGGTAGGCAACTTATGTGCACAAAAATTCCCTGCAAATGCCCAACTCAAAGGCCTGACACAGGATTGCAATACAGGGTTCAGATTTGCCTGGAAGGGAACATCCCTACTGAAAATGCTTGCAAGGAAAATAGCTTTTATGCTGGGAGTCAGTGCAATTCATTAGAAAGTTTCCCCTTAGTCCCATTTTTCCCTGGACAGGCTTTGTGGGTGCCTTCTAAGTGATGCTCTGAGCCCACCCTGTACCAACCCATCCCGATGGACCAACACATCCCAGCACTGTGAGCAGCAGACTCGACAGCCACGATGCTGACAGGGATCTTTCCAAGCTCTTCACAGCCCTGCTATCAGCTTCACAGTCACAAAAAGTCCTTCCAGCAAAGGATATGCTTTCCCTCTCGCTTTCCAGAAGAGACCAGGGGTCCCAGAGGCAGCCAAAAGTGGAGGATGCTGTTGGAGCCACATTGTCAAGGAGCTGGCAGAAGAACACGGAGCCTTACAGCTCGGCGAAGCCACATAAGCTGCACATATTTAGGAAAACTGATAGGAATTGGAAGTTGCAGCTTTGTTTAATAGGTGGGGAAGAACAGAAGGAAAATTTGGCACCCAGAAGGAATGCTGAAAGGAGAAACGTTTCCTCTGCACTGGAGCCTCTCTTATGGATTTTCTGCTGTAGGTGAACCTCCTTCCATACCCCTTTTTCAAATATTTCAATTTAGGTGATACTCAGAGATTTTAATGACATTAAATTGTGAATCTTGCAGCTTTTCAATTTGGGAGCTTATCTTATTTATCAGTTCCTGTGACTTCTCCACACCATGACCATTTTATTTTCAGTTAAGACCACCAGAAAGCTTCTAGCCTGTGCACCTACAGATTGCAGTACATTATTATTCTTGCAGGTTACTTAAGGTATAGCTGCTCCTGGTAGAAAGCAATAAATAGTACAAGACCACCTCTTTGCTGCATCAAAAAAGAAGAGAGAGCTCTGTTTCTTGGCTGACATGGAGAAAATCATATACAATCCAGTCTGCCTTACTCAGCAACAACTGCTAAACACACCAGATTGCCATAGCAGTGATCGTGGAAAAAGATGAACACAATATGGAATGTCTGTTCTGTAAAGATCTGCTCAAAATGATGTGCACTTTTGGCTGCATCTGTTGCATTTTTGAGCTTTATTAAACAGTATTAATTATATATACTCCATTTCCTGAATAAGAACTGCAAAACAGTATAAAAGCCTGATATTAAAATGCAAACTTTTCTTTTAAGATGTTATGTTTGGGGAAAAATCAAGCTAATGTGACTCCAGGGTCTGGCTTTGTTGTTTAGTTGAGGTATTTGAAATGCCTTTGTAATTTTTACTTGATTTGATATGCATCTGGTAAAGGAAAAATAAGAACTGGGCATGGTATGAAGATGCTCTAAATTTCATTGTATGAACATGAAAACATCAGAATGACCAAACTCCAGCTGTAAATGCCACAAAACAGACACAGGCGCCATATCTATACTCAGATTTGAAATCCCTGCCTTGGAGACATTCAGTCTCCATGTTCAGATACTACACAACTACATTTTTTACTCAGGATTTTTTATTTTTGAATCTAAACCACATTTTGAGAGAGATTAGAAATCTCTCTTAAAAGTGGTTGAGGTTTAGTGATCGGGGTATGGGGACGTGGCCCAGGATTCAGCCTGATTTAGTGACTTCCCTTTGTAATGTGAAATAAAACTTTGCAGAGTGTCCTTGATTGGGGAATGGGAGAGTGGTGGGAGCAGCAGCACCAGTACTGAGCCTCCATTATCTTTGCCTTCGATTTTCTGTTCAGAAAATGGGTGTGACAATATTATTTTTTCACCACAGAAGGATGCTGTCAGGATTAATTGATGACTTGACACCCCTCTTTTCAGCCCAAAATGATTTTAAAAAGCAACTTCATAACGCTACAATGATGTTCCTCTACAATCAATGGCAACAGTCTCCAAAACACCCTTCTGCTCTTCTGGGATTTTGGGAAATCAGCCTGAGCCCTTGAGTCTTACCCATTGCTAGGAGTGGAAGGAGAGTGCACTGAGATCAGTTAAACTGGAGTTATTTCCACCCACACCCCTGACCAGTGATGGGAAAGATGTTATAAAAAAAAAAAAAAAAAGGAAAAAATAGCAGAATTTGCCCCTTTACATTATTTAATGCATATTCATCTCTTGAATTTGGGTGAAATTCAGTAAGAGACCCATATGGTCTTCTCTGACTGAAAGTTTAATTTTTTAAGTCTATGTAAACTTATCCTACATGGTGATAATCACAGTAATTTAGGATTTGGAAGAAGGCACATCTAGCAATGCAATTAGAAAGCAGGAAAGTTGTGGAAAAGAGGCAGGACTTGCTCAAAGGAGAAAAATAAATGCTGTCTATTAAAAAATATATTAAAACCTAGGGTAATGCAATTAATCAGTGGTGTAAAAGTATTCAACCAGGGGAGAAATCTTAACATTTGATAAAATAGCATGTAAAGCTATGTTATGCTTGTGAAAACAACAACCCTGTCGTGACATCTCTTAGAATCACAGAATCATTTAGGATGGAAAAGACCTTGAAGATCATCGAGTCCAACTGCTAAGGTGCTGCTTATTCTGAAAGGGTTACAAATAAGCTCAGCTGAAAGCAATATTAAAAGGGTTGATCTTAATCTTCTTAGGACATTTAGCATGGGAGATTTTCA